CTGAATCTCCGAATCTGAATTGAATCAGGGGACCAATTAAAAGGTTTGAAGCAATTCAAACTTCTCCGAATCTTTGGAAAAGATTTGGAGAGCTTTGGTGATTCATACAATCCCCAATGGCTGCAGCAGGGAACTGCTGACTAGGAGCTCCGGACTAGGAGTTGGTAAGTACTAGGGGCAGAGGCGGACACCTGGGAGAGGAGACCATGGGGGGACCCCTGACAGCCCCTCCAACCCCCCCACACCCCCAGCCCCAGCCCCACCATGGCTGCCCCACCTGGGCCTATCTCTGGCCCTTTTAGAAAAAAAACAAGGAAAGCTCCAGGACCCACCACTCCTGCAGTGGCCTCAAGGATTTGGGGGGCTCATGCAGAGCCCCCCACATGGTGTGGGGCAGTAGGGGGCAGTGGGGATCGCCCCCCCCCCCCACTGGCAGGAGTGGTGAATCCAGGGGTTTTCTCGTTTTGTTTTTTTTTTTCTTAAGGGGCCAGAGCTGGCCCAGGCTGGGCACCCATGGTGGAGCTTGGGAGTGAGGGGGATGTCAGGGGGCTCATGGCAGAGCCCCTCATGCAGCGTGGAGCAGTGGGGGGCAGCAAGGATCTTCCCCTCACCTGGCATCACCCGGTGAGTCGCGGCTTTTTTTTCCCCAAAGAGCTGGGAGCTGGGGCAGGTGGGCCAGCCATTGCTGGGCTGGGGGGAATGGGCCTGGCTGATTTGGAGATTCAGAGATTTGGCTGAATCGAATCGGGACAGTGATTTGAATCACCAAATCGAATTCCTGGCTCCTGAATTGGCTGAATCTGAAGCAAATACTAGCCGCTTTGCACAGGCCTAACAGACAATGTCAGAATTACAGTTAAGTATGAAGCAATTGATATCCAACTAAAATTGATATTCTACTGAAAAAAATTGATCAATACCCTCCCAACATCTTAAAGCCCTGAAGATATAACTGAGCAATGTTGCTGGGTTTTTGGCTGTAGCTGTGTTGGTCTTAGGACATAGGCAGGCAAGGTTCTTTGAGTAGATGTAATATCTTTTATTAGACCAACTAAGTAGTTGGAAAAAAGTTCTTAGCAAGCTTTTGGGCACAGTCACCCTTCTTCAGGCATAGGGAGTCTTTGCTGTTCTGAGACTCCAAGAAAACTCTCTGTTCTTGGAGTCTCAGAACAGCAGAGACTCCCTATTCCTGAAGAAGGTTGACTGCGGCTGAAAGCTTGCCTAGAACTTTTTTCCAACTACTCAGTTCATCTAATAAAAGATATCACATCTAGTCAAAGAACCTTGCCTAACTGAGCAATGACATTTCTGGACAACATCAATTCTATGACATGAACAATATAGCTTGGGGGAAAAATAGCAGGTACTAAGGAACATGGCAGGCCTGTATAAACCCTTCTGGAGTTAGAAGAAGAAAGTAGTATGACTGAATTGATGAGCATGCTCTTGAAATAATAGCAACTCTTCAGGGAACAAATGAAAGCCTCACAAGCATAACATTTGGAAGCTAATGAAGCTCTTGGAACCCAAGTTCACGTTTTCCCCATCTATACACAGAACTGATGAGAATATAGAAGTATTAAAATCAGTAGCGTGTTGGGGGGCCAGAGGGGGTGGGGGAAATGATCTGGGCACCAGGCCTGGACACTGAACCTTGGGTTGTGCACAAACATAGCAACAACTGCAGTGTCAGCTCAGCCCCACTGCTGGTAGTGAAGACAATGACACCACGCTCTACACCGCTGTGGGCACAGGGCAATCTTGTGTCCAGTTATACCTCTAATTAGAATGAGACTAAATAATTCTCTGAGTCTAACTAGCATTCACCTAACGTGGGACAGAATTTTGCAGGTCTTATATGAGGATTTAAAAAATCATTTTAGTCTCTTGTAATTACTTACATTAAAACATGTATTGTAAAATTACAGAATGTCTGTATAGATTTATATCTCAAGTTTATATTTCTCTGCAATGGAAAAAAGTAAAAATATATTAAACAGAGTGGATGAAATTAAACCAAGTGATTTAATCCGCTGATTAAATTCAACAAGTATGAAACCTTGATTTAATTCCTTTTTTTCCTTTGTACTTTTTTAGTTATTTTCCTAAAGGAAGGCTAATTCGCATAGGTTAGTAACCGTAAAGATACGCTGATCTGCAGCTAAGCATAACTTCACACTGAATTTGCCACTTATTTGGTGATGATACACGTGCACATCAGAAACTTAGCTTAACACTTTTATTCAGATTTTGAATGTTCACATTTTACTTAAAATTGGGGATGACATTTCTTATTTACAAGATGCTTATTTCCCCCATGTGTTTAGTCTCAGCCTACTTTTGGATGTAAATTGGAATTTTGTTAAAACTACAAAAAAGGTTAGGTTTCAGAAATTCTTTTTATTAGCTAAATAATAGGCCTGTGTGAAGCCTTGGGCAGTGAGCGGGGAGCTGCAGCTGGATTCGGGACTGATAAGTAGGGGGTGGGGGAGGGGGCACTGCCAGGCCCCATCCCCTCCTTGCACCCCCAGTTCCCCCCACGACCCCACCTGAGCCCCCAGCACCCCCACAGCTGCTCTGCCCACCCCAGCTCCCAGTGCAGTGCCCCCCACACAGTGTAGGGCAGTGGGGAGCAGCAGGGATTGCTCCCCCACCCGGCAGCACCTGCTGAGTTGGGGCTTTTTTTTCCAAAGTGCTGGGAGCTCGGGTGGGTGGGGCAGCCATGTGGTGGTGGAGCAGCTGGGAGAATGGACGGGGGGGGGGGCCTGGCCTGGGTGATTCGGACATTCAGCAGCAGCCGAATCTTCAAATAAGATTTGGCTGAATAGATTCAGGGCAGTGATTCGAATCACCGAATCGAATCGCTGTCCCCCGAATCGGCCGAATCTGAATCCAAAGCAAATACTAGCTGCTTCACATAGGCCTATTAAATAAGACTATATTAAATGCGCTAGCTACAGGGAAGCCTGCTAAAGAATGAAACCTACGTTCACTCTGCAGAAGTGATGCCACCTAGCACTACAGCTGTGAAGAAAACGACAAGTTATGACCTCATTAAAAGGCTTAGGATATTTCATAACCTTCAAACTATTGTGCATATCAGATGTTAAGATAAAATCATGAAGAGTGAGCTTTGGCAAAGAAGTTGCATATACTGCAATCAAAGTAATGTTTGCAATGCAACAGCAAAGTTTTATTGGACAATAAGGGAAGCAGATGAAACCCAGTGGGCTCTTCAAGAAAATGTTGTACAATAGGTTTTAAATGAAGTAAAACAGGGCAGAAAGGAAGAGAGAGATATCTGGAAACATGCATATTGCAATAGTAATGTGTGAGAAGGAATAGCCACAAAGCAATCAGTTTGCACAGGCATGGCAAAATTTGCAGATAGAAACGAATTGTGCAGCCACCTACAATTCCTCTGCACACATGAAATTGTTGACGCAATGGACCATTGATGACAATAGCCTATGGGTGTCCCTCTGCACTCATTGCAGGTGCGCATGATGGGTGGGGAGAGGAGGGAATGAAAATGTCATGACCACACCAATGGCTAACTCCCAGATTACCACGTCCTACAGTGGCCATAACAAAATAACACAGGTTGTAAAGACAACTCAATAGCGCTCAACAAGACCAATTTTGTGAAAGAAACATTGTGGTATTCTCAAGAATGCTACAAGCTCCCAAACCACAGTAATCCTGTGAGCTTTAATTCATTTGTGAGGCAGATGACAACAACTGCTTACTGGTGAACCACAAAAGCTTTAGAGGTTGCTTTCAAGCAAACTGTGATACTCAGCATTCTGAATTGTCTTTCAGATATCTTATGAAATCTGCTCATCTCCAAACTGTCTGTGCAAAAAGAGTAGTGTTTGCTCTCTGCACATGCCCTGCATTAGCAAATAATTTAGAAATTTACGATGAAAATGTCTGTTTTGTCCATACCCCTTGGGGCCAGGGAGGTTGCTCCATAAAGTATTTTTCCTTTGGGATACTATTTCAGAGTCTCAACAAGAGTATCTAGCACTGAAACAATACACTGAATGAACTGTTTTGAGCCAAACCAAATTCTCTCTATACTGTGGTTTAATGCACATTCTTTGACTTACTACAGATTTTCATCTCACGACTGTAAAAGCTACAGTAAAACTATAGTACAGGTGATTTTGTTATGATTTCACATGTAAGAACTCTTTGCTACAAAGGAATGGTAATAGTTTACCCTGTGAAGTTTTTAGTACTGCTCTTTCATGTACTTTTGCAGAGTGGTCTTCATTAAAGAAACTTGCTCATTTTTAAAACAATCTTTATGTAGCTCTTGGGATGTATTTCTGATGTGTACAATGTTTCCTTTTGGTACTGAACTTCTTGGAGGAAAGCGCAACGTAAATAGACATGTTAAACAGGGTCAGTGATAAAAATATATTGCAGGATTTGTCCTAGTGAGACAAAAATGTGAACAGAAAAAAGAGATGGAGTGTATAGAAAATGGAAATATATAAAAAAGAATATCTGTCAGTGCATAACGACAATATTGAGAAACAACAAAATGGATAATGAGTAGATAGCCAACCTAAAGGTGAGGGATTTAGGGTTCATTTTCTGTTTTTCATATACGGAAATGGGAGCTGAGAAAAAGAACCTTCTCTCTCAATGCAGTGCCCTGTACTATGGACGGCTTCTTGCCATAATGAAGTGGACACAAATGGGATGAGGCAATGCACTGTCTAACACAAAACATCTTAATTAACACAGAGCCACCCAATGGAAATAACATGGCTTGTCTTAAACAAACAACACACACCGAGAAAAAAAAACCCTCAGCGATTCCCTTGATTGTTTGAGATATAGTTCTAAAATTTCTCTTCAGCAAATTCTTCTTGGCATAAACAATAAAGTTGCAAATGCCCTGGGGGAAAGAAACACCTTGAAGGAGACACCTACTGTGCAAGGTATAAATAGAATCTCATTGGAATTCGGGTTTGCAGTCTGAGTCCTTTTCAGGCTGTGCTACTAAACTTGGGCTTTAGGCTAGACTCTTGACTTCTGCCACTATGAGTTGTGGCATTAAGTCTTCATCTAGCTCTTCTAGAATTATTAGTGGTGGGGGTGGTGGTGGTGGTGGTGGAGGAGGAAGAAGATGTGTTGGGTACTCCTCAGTCTCTTCTAGGAAATATACTTCCTCTGGAAGAAGCGGTGGTGGAGGAGGCTTCTCTGGTCGAAGCTACAGTGGTGGAGGTTCTAGGAGCAGTTATGGAGGGGGATTTAGCAGTGGCAGTTGTGGAAGGATTAGCCGTTCCTGTTATGGAGGGCGAATAAGTGGGGGAAGCTTTGGACCAAGTGGTGGTGGTATCTGTGGGGGATATGGTGGTGGTGCTGGAGGATTTGGAGGTGGTGGTGCAGGATTTGGCGGTGGTTATGGAGGTGGCCTTGGTCCATGCGGCTTTGGAGGCAGTGGTGGCTTTAGTGGTGGTAGTTTTGGCGGTGGTGGCTTTAGTGGTGGTAGTTTTGGCGGTGGTGGATTTAGTGGCGGTAGTTTTGGCGGTGATGATACTGGCTTCCTTTCCAACAATGAAAAGATGACCATGCAGAACCTTAACGAACGCCTGGCATCTTACTTGGACAAGGTGCGACATTTGGAGGAAGAAAACGCTAACCTTGAACGTCTAATCAGGGAGTGGTATCAGAACCACGGTCCTCAATGTGGAAGAGACTACAGCCAGTATTATGGACCAATTGAAGACCTTCAAAATCAGGTAGGAGCTATTTCAAAAACCTCCAAAACTCTAAGCATGATCAGGGGTTTCCTTTGAGACCTGGCTCAGATCTCTCAGGAGATAGCAGGCATAATATTCTACAAATCCTACAGTGCTTGAACAAACTCTTAAAAATTAAGAAATATCTGAATTAAGGTTTCCAGCACAGATAGAATGATAATCTTTACTGCATTGAATAGACAAAGTCTATGAACTATGTCCTGAGCTTATGCAGACTGAGGTATTCAGAGGCTCATAACTTGGCTAAATTGGGCAGATATCTAAGGGTGTAGCAAAAGACACCTACTAGACATAATTTCTGGATTAACAAACCACATTGTGTGATGTACACTTCAAAGACCTTTGTGATCAATTGTCACTTTGCCTCCATTCCTGTGCATGGGGCATTATGTTTTCCTATTACCCTAACTGACTGTGGGAGTGTCCACAAATCCGATTCTTACAATGTTATTAAGGACTCCATACATATGTCCTTGTTGTTTCCTTCTTTCTCTATGTCAGTCTGAAGAAGCCACAGGGATGAATATAATGTGTGACCTCTTTTTCAGATTATTTCTGCAACTGTGGATCTTAACAAGGTCCTTCTGGACATTGATAACACTAGGATGACTGCTGATGACTTTAGAATTAAGTGAGTATATCTCTCCACCATGTCAAACCCATCTGCTTCTGTCTTTTCCCCTTCACATCAGCCTGCATGAAACCATGGAGTCTCTTACTCCATATTCATATTGATCATATTGAAAGACAGTTGTTGGGAAAATTATCACTTTCAGAACTCTTATCATTTTATAAGATTTCCACTGAAAGGGAGCCTTCCAAGATTTATATTCTCTGTCTCTGAACTTTGCTTATATGTTTGAGTGGCTACTGGAGATTTAGGTTCAGATTTCAGATGGTATAAATAGATGAAACTTCACTGGTTTCAATGGTGTTAGGATAACTTTTGTGATTTGAAAGTTACAAAACCAAAAATACTTTGAAGAATTGCTTCTGAGGATAGGAGAGACTGGTAGGTGATACCTGTGCTATGTATACATTGAAGGGGGAACATGTAAAAGCCTGAGAGAAAAGTGTTTTCTTATGATATGTTTCACTTACATGATCTTCAAGTATGACATCCATATTTATCCCATCTACAAATTCAGTCCAATAAAAAACAATACAAGCAAACCTTGTTTCTTGATTGTACCAGTAGGCAGGATGGTCAGGGAATGCTCTGGACATGAGCCTCCACCGCTCAGACTAGTGTAGGAATGACTCTACTGAAGCCAACTGGATTAAAACAATGTAAAAATCAATGTACGTGCAAAGAGAGTTAGGGCTAATGCATTAAGAATGCAACAAAGAGATTCAAATAACGCTGAAATGGATGAACTGGTGAAGATGTCCCATTCATAAAGATAATGTCATTGCTACTAAATTGAGCGCTCCAGCATTGCTTTTATTATCTTTTCTCTTTGTGGTTTAGGTATGAAACTGAATACAGTCTCCGCCAGAATGTGGAGGGTGATATTAATGGCTTACGCCCCATATTAGACCAGCTGACCTTAGCCAGGTCTGACCTGGAGGCACAATATGAGTCCCTGAAGGAGGAATTGATTTCTCTGAAAAAGAACCATGAAGAGGTAAGATCCCTCCCACCTTGAAACAGTAACTAGTTAAAATACCACGGTAAGACATTTCTCCATGGACTTTCTTGAATAAGAATAACTAAAAGTTGGCCACTGCCTCTAGTTGTCCAACTTCAGACATTCTGGTTCCAAATTTCAGAGACGTTAAGTGCTCATAGCTCTCACTGACTTAAGCATGTGTCTGGATTAGGTTAGGTGAAGCCCATTTTGAATATAAGACCATATGAGATCAGGAAAAGGAGTGGAGTCCATTTCTTATGTTCAGTGCTCTTGGCAAAACTATGGAGTAAAAAAAGGATGTAATATATATAAGCCCAAGGAGCTATCCATGACAGTTGCCCTTTAGTGGGAGTCTCTGAAAATACTTTCTGTGGGTCATAATGCAAAAGCTGACCTGTGCAATGAGAAGCCTACATAAAGTGTTCACAAAACCCAGCAGGAGGCAGAGGTAGAGCCAAACAGTCTGTGATAGCTCAGTGTTGTTTGATGGAAAGCTCCGCTCTTTCTACATGATTGAGAAGATCTTGTGAGAAGTAGAAGAAAGACCTCATAAGAAAGAATGATGTTGGCAGCGTGAATAGTCCTCCAGAGCTGAGGGGGATGACTGCAGGTATGATTTCACAATGAGGCCTTTTTTACCCTGGGGATTTGACTTTTGTTGTAGGAAATGAGAGGACTGCAGTCACAGTCTGGTGGTGATGTCAATGTGGAGGTCAATACTACCCCTGACAGTAATCTGATGCAAAAACTAAATGAAATGCGATGTGAATATGAACAGATCATTGAAAACAACCGTAAAGAGGTGGAAAGATGGTATGAAACTAAGGTAAATTGCAGTATTGATATATAGCTATGTTTTCCAAAAAAAGACTTGACCTACTTTATCACGTATGCAATATTATGCATGCAATAGAGGGAAGTCAATTATGTATGTATTGGCTAATGATGATCGTCTTGAAATTATCCCGATGGTTTAGTGCAGGTTGTTCATAGCTGGAATGATGGAGTTTGCTGCAAGCTAAATTTAAGGTTAACAGTACGTGGAGCCCCTGTATCAAATCACCAGGGACAATTACAAGCCAGGGTGCTGCTGATTTGCCAGAACTGTGCATAGAAAGTATATGCAGTCTACCCCATGTTGCAATTTCCTCCAGCCAGATACACTGCCTTTCTAGATGGTTTTATAATAAAAAAATCACCATGATAATAAATTTAAAAAATGTAATTCTGTATTTGCATTTTTCAGATGGAAGAGGTTAATCAGGAAGTCCACACCAGTGGTCAAGAGATACAATCAAGCAACCACCAGGTCTCGGAGCTGAGACGTGACTATCAGACACTGGAAATTGAGCTCCAGTCTCAGCTCAGCATGGTATGACATATCCATTTGCTTTGCCTCTCAGAAAAGACATAGCACACATGAGTTACTGGAATGATAAGGCAGCAGATATTTCAAGCATTCCTTCTGTAAATTGACAAAGGGAGTTTCTCCATTTTGCTATGGAAAAGTATTGCTTTGTGCATCAAAGGGAGTTAAGATTCACCACATGCCCACAAGCTGTCTATTCTTTACATTTTTCAGGTGCAGTCCTTGCAATCCAACTTGGAGGACACAGAACGCCGTTATAACATACAGCTGCAACAGATCCAGAACACGATTACCACTGTGGAAGAAGAACTGGCCAATATCCGATGTGAAATAGAGAGTCAGAACTATGAATACAAGATGCTACTTGACATCAAGTGCCACCTGGAACAGGAGATAGCTCAATACCGGGCATTGCTTGAGGAAGGACAGCAAGACATTGGGTACGTAAATGACTGAGAGTTGGATGACTTTAGGAAGCATTAATTCTGTCAATTCTGAGTGTAAATTGCAGCTAAATTAGTGATGACATAAAAACAAGCTCAGGGGGCAGGACTGGCAAAACAGACTCTACAGCCACAACATCTACATAAAAATAGGGGTCACTTGGCTATACTGAGCAATCGTCCTGAGATTGGAAGAGTTGTTGGAGATGGTCCTGAAAGTGTCTTGCCATCCTGGTTTTTGGAACTGGAACAGGAATTGCACAAGGAAAATATTTCCGAAGTTCCACACTACCGACTTTGGGCTGCACAGCCAAGGCCATGTAAAGAGTCTTCCTGGCATTATTCTGGCAGTTCTGGT